GCCATGTTTTTAAATTACTTGTTGCTGGGCCTTTTCATATGTTTTTCCCTTTCCTTTACCTAGAAAATGTTTCATTCCCTATTGCCACGGCACTCCCCTTCTCCACAAATACTTTGCTTAAACTTAGAAAATCCCTCATCATCTTTTAAGATTCACATTTAGAATACTCTTCTCTAAACAGGCTTTCCTGACTTATTCAAATGTATTGAGGATTCTCTCTCTGCGTTTTGCTACCAGATTGTCCTATGTATAACATTCTCAAAGTGCTTGTAGCATAATTTATATCAATATGTTTTAGACTGCATGCCTATCTCCCTCAACTAATCTATAAACATCTTGATAGTAAGGATCTCAACCTAATCTATAAACATCTTGATAGTAAGGACCTCTTACTAAATGTTATGTTCTCAGCAGAGTAAGTATGAAGTTCTTGGCACATAGAAAATGCAAAGTAAATGTGTTTCACATGGCTAAAGATACAAAGCTAGGAAATTAATTTTAAAATCACATCATAGGAAGATAAATTCTACAAGCACATAATGGTTGATTTTTAAAACCTGTATATTTTGTCCAGAATGAAGTGTGTGGGGGCATATGTATATGTCTATTTGTCATGTCCCAACTCAAATCTTGGGCAATTCACTCTCATAAACTTCAGTTTCTATCTCTCTAAAACTGTGTCAAAATGATTAATTATATTATCTGTTTTATAGGATTATTGGAAGGTTAACTCATTTGATGCCTATAATGAGGGCATTTAGCAAGGTGCTTGTATTAATTTCCTATTGCTCCAGGAACAAATTATCACATACTTGGTAGCTTAAAAAGATAGCACAAATTTATTATCTTAGAGTAAAGGTCAGAAGTTCAAAATAGGTCTCACTGGGCAAAATTTAGGTGTTCCTTCTGCAGACTCTACGGGACAATCTATTTTCTTACTTTTTCTGGCTTCTAGAGCTTCCTGCATTCTTTGGATTGTGGCTCCTTCCGTCTTCAAAACAAGCAATGGTCTACTGAGTTTTTCTCACAGTTCATGACCCTGACACATATTCTCTTATCTCCCTCTTGTGCTTATAAAGAAACTTTTGATTGCATTGGGCTCACCAGAATAATCCAGGATAGTCCCTTCATCTCAAAATTCTTACTTTAAACACATCTGCAACTTGCCTTTCACCATGTGAAGTATGTAAAGCTGCATATTCACAGGTTCTAGTAATTGGGATGTGGCATCTCTGGGGGTGCACTATTCTGCCCAACACAGTGCTCAATCTCTTCATTACAGGAATCAGCAAAGTCTGACACTTAGTGTTAGAATTATCTACTATTTCTTAAATATCATCAAATTGTTGTTTTGGCTATAGAGCTGAAACACTTTTGAGCCAGACAATCTCAATACAATGTGACTTTCTATTAATAATTTAGCATGAAAAAGCCATAGTTTTCTCACTCCAAATGTGGGCTAAGTGATTCACTTCTGAAAATTCATCATTTTGTGACACTGGGATTCACTTATAGTAAAAGGAAATTGTCATTTACCTAAAATTACCTTAGTAGCCCTAAGGAAGACAGTTTTATTGTCATTACCATCAATGACTAACAGTTTACGGAGAATTTAGTGCCGAGAGCCATTCGAAGTGTTTATATAGGTACTGACTGATCTGATCCCAATGTTGTAGGACTTTCTCCTTAGTTCAGCTAAAAGCTAGGTTCTTATTACACAGCCATGAAACATTAGGCTCGTAGACACTTTGAAGGGTGAGAAAAATGAAATTTATTGAGCGAAAAGGGAAAAAAAAGGGAAACAGGGACTCTCCACAAAGTGAGAGTCCTGCTAGCTGGTTTCCCGCCTCACAAATTGAGTCTCAGGTACAACCTGGAAACGGGAGAGGCCAGGCTCCTCCTCCTTGCAGACAGTACAAACCTCCAGAGGCTCCTGAGCGCACAGGGCCCCGTCAGAGGTTCTGCCCGCGAACCATTTTTGCTTGGCTGTCTCACCACAGCCAGCCTCGTAAGGGGGTATTTTATTTTTCCTTCTTTTATGGCAATTGAGACTGTCCAAAGTTTCAGGGCATGTAGTAGAGATGGGATTTAAACTCAGGTGGTCAGGCTGTAGAAACTGTATTTTTAACCATAGCACAATAAGCACAGAAATGTAGAAAAGAATGGTGCAATATTAGAAGAATAATTACTCTACTTTGGGCTAATAGCTCCTAGCGTTTTTATAGCTTATCATGGTACAGGTTGAAAGCATTTAGTTTTATTGAGTCTGATTCTTGTGCTCAAAAAAAATGCATAGTAGACAACCAGCTGTGTTGGGAGTTGGTCAGCTTCCAGAGATACTTGAAAACAAATTGTCCAGTGAGTTCAGGCTTTTAAAGACATGTCCTTCAAGTTTATTCTCTCTCCCTCTTTTTCTCCCCCCAAAATATAAAAACATTAACTACAGTAACTCTCATATATTAACTTTCTATTCTGCCAAAGTGCTTTCAACACACAGAGTTTAAAAGCAAGGAAGTTGCCTTTTTAAAAGTAAGTTGTTATCCAAGTCAGCGTTTTCTTAAAAATGTCAATGTTTCAGAGGACTCCTTAGGATAAACAGATGTTACAAAAACTTTTATTATTATTATTATTTTTTGAGACAGAGTTTCACTCTCATTGCCCAGGCTGGAGTGCAATGGTGCGATCTCGGCTCACTGCAACCTCCACCTCCAGGGTTCAAGCAATTCTCTTGCCCCAGCCTCCCTAGTAGCTGAGATTACAGGTGCCCCCCACCATACCCTGCTAATTTTTTTTTTTTTGTATTTTTAGTTCAAACTCCTGACCTCGGGTGGTTCACTTGCCTCAGCCTCCCAAAGTGCTGGGATTACAGGTGTGAGTCATGGGGCCTGGTCCTACAGGTGTGAGCCATGGCGCCCAGCCAGATGTTATGAACACTTTAAACACTGCTTGGCTAAAATGATAGAGGAAAAGTTAAAATGATAAAGGAAAGATTATTAATATGGCTAATTTTTACCAAAAAAGTTAGGAACAATTGTTGAAATATTTTATATGACAGGGAACTCATTTTAAGGAAATTATTACAGGGTACAACTGTGAGCAATTGGCATTTGCTCAAAGTATGTTGACAGAACTGGATGCTTACTCATAGGTTCAGGAAGATAAATAAATCAACTTAACGGGCCTATATGTTCATTACAACCACATTAGCATAAATACCACCTTATGTAAAAAAAAATCTCTTTAGGCCAAAAATAAGCAAGGAAGAGAGCAATTAAGAAATGGATATAAATAAAATGATAGGTAATTGATTAGTAAACTCTCTGTATGGATGAAATACATTTCCTATAGTAGTTAAGCCTACCACATACATTTGATTAGGATAAATTTCAAATCATTTTTGAAAATCAATATTAAATGAATCCCTTCATTCACCTATGGCATTTGACTTTTTCTCATGATCACATTGACGGTTTGGAGAGCATATTACCTGCATTATGTGGTCATGATTTAGCTTTTATGCTTCAATGTTTTATTTAGAATCTTTTGGCAGATGAAGCTGTTGACCTCAGTTAGCTAGAAACAGCTGCTTTCCTATTTTTATTTGTAGTTAATGTTTTCCAAGTGTCAAGCATATGTAGAGAAATTTTTTCCATAGACTGATATTAAACATTTTATTTATATATTTTTTATTTTTAATGGTCCTTGGGACTATTTAGAAAAGTGAGAGCCAGTTGGAGCATTCACTGTAAATTCTTTCAGAAAAGAAAATCTCCCTTTGGTATTTCTATGGATGGGTCAATATCACATTCATTTATTTTCGTGGCATGCTCAAGTACAGTGCGATATTCTGGAAACACAATCTGCTGTCTGTTTTGACTGAGTTAAAAATACATGATCTCTTTCAAAGTTTTAAATTGTTTCTTCCTAAAGACAAAGCAAGGTAGTTTTCAATAATCTTAGGTTTGGTTCTTTGTTTTGTTGATGAATGGATACCCTGAGAACGTGGTCAGTTGATAATCTTAGTTTGAAGGGTATGGAAAACCAAACATTGTGTGTTCACACTCATAAGTGGGAGCTAAGCTATGAGGATACAAAGGCATAAGAATGACACAATGAACTCTGGAGACTCAGGGGGAAGGTACAAAAGGGGGTGAGGGATAAAATACAAGTTGGGTGCAGTGTACACTGCTCGTGGCATGTGCTAAACTTCGCAGGGTGCATGGGTGTACCAAAATCTCACAAATCACCGCTAAAGAACTTACGTAATCAAACACCACCTGTTCCCCAATAACCAATGGAAGCAAATTTTTTAAAATGAGTATTTCTTATTTCATATAATTACATTTTTATTTTCTGGTTGAAGATGAAGGTAATTTAGTTTCTTCTTTTAGTTTGTGCTGTAACTAGAGGGGTTTTTTTTATTCCTATGATAGAAGTTTTGGTAAATGTATGAGCCCTCTTATTTTCTATTTGAGTGCTATGCATAGTTTACTGAAAATTAGTGCAAAATGTGGGAAAATATAAAGCTGAAGGCAAGCCCCGTTGTGTCCTTTGATGATGGATACAGAGATAGGTAGAGCACATGTCTTGGGTCTTGAGTATCATGCAATGACCAGGGAGATTAAGAAACGGAGGAAGCAGGAAGAGAATGCTGTTAAGATTCAACACGTTTTATTTGTGATGAGTCTCAGGTAAGGTAGAATTGCCCTAAATTCTTGAAGCATCAGGAAACCTTGATAGGAGACTCAGTTCCTAAACCATAAGCTCTTGAGGAAGCCATGTTTCCTCACAGGGCTGTGTGATTCATGGTGGAAGAGAAATTCTTGGTTTTGTGATTGTTGACCCCAAGAAGGAGATCATTGCTGTGGCATTCATCTTTGTCTTTGTGTTTATCTGGCTAGAATGACATATGGGAAAGTAGCTCTAGAGTTTTCTTAATGTTTTTTAAAATAGATACTTCTAGTAATGTTTCAAAAATATGCACTTTTTTTGTCTTTCAGGAACATTACAAAAAGCCTATTTTAAATCAAATGGGAGTGAACCTTTGGTCACTGATGGTGAAGTACAAGGGTCCGATATCATTCTTATCAATACAGCTTATAACCAGAGCACTTTGGTGTCTACTGCACATCCCAACCAGCACATTCCAGCCTGGACTACGGATGCTTCTCTCCCAGGGGACCAAAGTCACAGGAATACAAGTAAGTCCAAAGGTGACACATGCTAGAGGCTTTTAATGTTCTACAGGTAGGTTTTAAAGTTTGGCAACCAGTGCTTTCAATTACAATCATGTGTCAGTCACACAGGAAAATCTCCGCTCAGTTTGAAACAGTGATCCAAACTGTGTCTTTTGGGTTGGAGAAATAGAATCATCCTGCTTTTCCTCAAACACTGGCAAACATATACTCTCATAGCTAAAAGTCAGCTTAATCCTTCTTTTCCTGGCTCAAAATAAAAATAAATACACTGTCTCAGACCTAAGATGTGATATCCCTTTGTTATTCGGCAAGCCTAGCCTAGTGCCCTATTCTTAAACATGAAAAGCCATCAGCCCAGACTTTCAGGTAGGAACCGAGTAAGAAATGAAAATGTATCAATGCCATTCAATATTTCTGAGATCTGAAAATGTATGCTTCTTGCCCTAATATACTGGTATTGATTTCGTAGTGGTTTATCTGTGAAAGTTTGTGCTTCAGTTTTGGAGTTTTAAGTTACTTATTTTGAGATGGTTAATAAGTAAGTTAACTCACTGACTGTTGTTGGTCCCTTGCAGGAGGACCAATTCGATAAGAGGATGCTGAGTGATTTAATGGCGGCTATTCCCCTACTTACTTTTGAGATGTTCTTGTGTTCTTTTTTTTCTTGCTTCCCTCTTCACCTTCTATTATTGGCTGAAAAATTTTATTTGACATGTTGGCGAATGACAAAAAAAATCACACCTTGAGAAAAATGGCATGTGCCAAACTCTTCTGCATGAAGGCAAAGGGAAGGATTTGTTAGTTATTCCAGAAGAAGAGCTGGGAGAGAGAAAAGACAGAAAGCGTGGGCATGGGTCATGATGAGATGGTGAGAGCTGGCAGATGACATGCTCTGAAATGTGACTCTACCTTTTGATAAAGTTACTACTACCCTTCCAAAATACTCGGTGGGAGTGGATTTGTGTGGAAAATTCCAAGAAGCTTAGCTCTGATACAACCAATGCTAATTAAAAAATAATTGGAGCACAGTACAGCCACTGCCAGGATTTTCTTCATAATTGTTTTGCCTCTTCATTTCTACTTTGTAAAACAAGGTTATGTGATTGAAAATTACACAAAGCCCATCCACCCATTATCATTTTCTTGTTTCTCTCTCTTTCACAAAAACCCACAAAGGGATATCACATCTTAGATCTGAGACAGTGTATCTATTTTTATTTTGAGCTAGGAAAAGAAGGATTAAGCTGACTTTTAGCTATCACAGTATATGTTTGCCAGTGTTTGAGGAAAAGCAGGATGATTCTATTTCTCCAACGAAAAAGAGACAGTTTGGATTCCACTGTTTCACAGAGTACGTATATGTATTAACTGTTTTGGGGCTTAGTATTTACCAGTGATTCAAATGGATTTGGGTTCATTATCTGATAGCATTTTTGCAAACCAGAATTATGCCAAGTTAAATTTATTTTCCTCATGGTTGTAATTGTGAGGTTTTATTTTTTAGTCATGTCTTAAGCACTTCGTTATTCTTATTATTATTATGACAAACAGAATTTTTCATCAGAAGTACAGAGTAGTTTAGATAAAAACTCAGTCAAGTTAATGTGGCTACAATTACAGTAATTGTTATTTTCTTTTACTAAGTATATTTGTCTTTATTTTGAATGTTCCATTATTAAAGATTCAAACAGGATTGACGAGAGGCATGTGCAGTTGTTCCTCAGATTGGAAGTTTCATAGGAGTCTGACTCATTTGCTCTTCCTATGGCTAGAACATTGCTTGTGAATATGAGCATAAATTGACATGTAGAGGAAATTCAGGTGAAATTAGAATGGTTAAATGGAGAAGGGCTGAAACCCTTGCATGTGTGTCATTTTATGTTGTCAATGTACTTGACAGTTAGCATTAGTCTTTACTATCTGGCCACATAGACTTTTAGTATACTGTCAGTATCAACTAAAATTATTTATTGCAAGAAATCTGATAGCTTTCTGCACATTCCAGTAATAGCATAAGCCTGTGATTATAGAACTTTAAGGGTTTTAGGGCACTTTTGAATATTTTTCTCTGTGATCATTATAATTAACTGGATGAAATACACCAGACAGGTAATAGCATACACCACTTTTCAAGGTGTGAAATTGAGGCTTAGAGGAATTAGTTAATGTATTCAGTATCACTTGCCTAGTAACTAGTAGACATGAAATTTGGATTCAGATCTTAGAATTCCAAGATCAGTGCTCTTTCAAATTTTTCCTTATCGTTTAATCTTACTGTTTTCTTTGCAGTAGGATTGTTTAAAAAAATTTTAAGTTCTAGAAGAGAAGGAAGAGTAGACTTTTGTTGTTGTTGTTGTTGTTGTTTTTATTGCTGTATAGCCAATGTGTAATAAAATATTTGTTGAATGAATAAATGAACTGTAGTCATTTTAAATTTTAATATATGATGTATCACTTTTGTTAAAAATGCCTGATCACACTTCTACCACTTGATGTTTATTTCACCAATTTTACTTAACGTATCACTTACTGTCTTAGATCTGTATTAACGCCTAGAAGAGAGTTTCCTTTTATCCTCCTCTTTTATTATTATTCTCACATTAAGATGGTATTTTCAATTCCTGGAATATGTTAAAGCTACTTAAATATACTTCAGTCCAAAATACAATGGCTAGATATTCTATTCTATCCAAATATCCTGGGTAAGAAAAGTACCAAGAAATAGTCTTTCCCTAAGACATTCTTCTTGGGGGTCCTCAATGTCATGCCAAGACATAGAATCCGGCATTTCATAAAGCTTTAACCAGAATACCCCCCATATTACTCTGTGTAGCATAGCTAGGTTTTATGAACATGAAATAAGCTTTGTGTGATTTCTGGTACTTCTGGAGTTATATTAGTTACATTTTGAAAACAAATTATAATGAGAAAAAGGAGAAGGGCCATACTTAATGGTCAAACTGTGTTTCAGCAAGGAATTTTTCTAGGTTGAATTCTATATCTGGGTTTTTAATTTCACCATTTTGTCCTTATGTATTTTATGACTATTTAAATATATATTTAACTTTAAGGAAAGGGAAAAACTCTTTTGCCAACCAAGACATTTTGGGTTAAAAATAATATGGAACACAATAAAATAACCTAGTAACTCTGATCAGGAGTTAAAATGAAAAGAGAGTAAATTGATGTGCTGAAAGCTTAAAGTATTCTGTTCTCTTATCACATCTTTGATAACTAGATCCTAAATCTTCTATTTCAGGTGAAAATGCATTATCCCTCTCATGTACTTTTCTAAATAACTGATTTTTTGAGATATAATTCACATACCATAAAATTCATTCTTTCAGTGTGTACATTCAGCAGTTTTCAATATATCAGTGTTGTATAACCATCACCACCATCTGATTTTAGAATATTCTCACATTGCAAAAAAAAAAATCATATTTCCTGTCCCTACTTCCCCCTTCCCTCAGCTCCTGACCAAAACTAATCTATTTTCAATCTCTATGGATTTTCTTATTTTAAAATGTTTATATAACAAGCATCATACAATATGTGGTTGTTTGTATTGGCTTCTTTTATTTTGCATCATGTTTTCAGAATACATCCATGATATAGCATGTGTCAAGTACTTTGTTTCTTTTTAGTGCTGAATAGTATTCCATTGTATGGCTCTATCACATTTTCTTTATCCAGTCATCCACTGAGATAAATTTGCATTGCTTATACATTTCTTTTTAGCTATTATCAATAATGCTTCTATGAATATTCATGTACAAGATTTTGTGTGGAAATGTTTCCAGTTCTCTTGGGTTTATACCTAGAAGTGGAATTGTGTTATTTCTTGTTCCTTCACTTATCTTCAGTCTAGCTGATTCTATCCATTATTGAAAGTGGGGTATTCAAGTCTCCAACTATTATTATAGAACCGTCTATTTCTTTTCTTTTCTTTTCTCTTTTCTTTTCTTTTTCTTTTTTTTTTTTTTCTTTTGAGGTGGAGTCTTGCTCTGTCACCCAGGCTGGAGTGCAGGGCATGATCTCAGTTCACTGCAACGTTTGCCTTCTGGGTACAAGAGATTCTCCTGCCTCAGTCTCCCAAGTACCTGGGATTACAAGTATGCACTACCATGCCTGGCTAATTTTTGTGTTTTTAGTAGAGACAGGGTTTTGCCATGTTGGCCACGGTGGTATCAAACTCCTAACTTAAGTGATCTGACCACCTTGGCCTCCAAAAATACTCAGATTACAGGCAGGAGCCACCATGCCCAGTCTACTTCTTTTTTCAATTTCATCAGATTTTTGCTTCAGATATTTTGGTTGTCTTTTATTAGGTATGTAAATGTTTACAATTGTTATATCTTCTTGCTATATTGAACTTTTTATTAATATATAATATCCTTCTTTATTTCTTCTGTTTTTGATTTAAAGCCTGTTTTGTTGTACATATTCTCCTTAACTTATTATGGAGTTATATCATAATAAACCCATTGTAAGTTGAAAATACTGTAATTCAAAAACGCATTTAGTACATTGAACATTGTAGCTTAGCTTTGCCTTTTCCTTAAATATGATAAGAACATTTACATTAGCCTACAAGTGGTCAAATCATCTACTACAAAACCTATTTTATAATAAAGTGTTCAACAGTTCATGTATTTTATTGTAAACCTTACTGAAAGTGAAAAACAGAATGGTTATATGAATACTCAAAATATAGTTTCTATTAAATGTGTGTCACTATTGCACAATTATAAAGTTGAAAAATTATAAAATTCAAACCACCATAAGCAAGCCATCCCACTATCTTCTTTTGGTTACTATTTGCAGGGAATATTTTTATCCATCACTTTCAACCTATTTGTCTTTGAATTTAAAGTGAGTCTGTGGTAGACAGCATATAGTTGGATTATGGGTTTTTAATCCGTTCTGCCAATCTCTGTCTTTTGATTGGAAAAATTTAATCCATTAATATTTAATTACCGATGACAGACCTACTTCTGTCA